AAGGGTTTGCCACTGTTGGGCTATCTCTACAGAGAGACAGGGTTAGAGAAAGAGTTATTCCTCTGACATCAGATGCTACCCCTCCTATAGAAAGCGGAAGCGATGTTTCAATCCTGACTTTGGAGTCTCTGAAGGCAGGTCTCATGCTTCCAAGCAGACTGGCATGAAAAAGCTGAGCATCTGTTCTGAGAAAGGACAGCTGCTGGATCAGGCCTCTGGGGTTCTTATAAAAAGGGGGCCGAATTAAAGGATTTAATCAGATATAGCTAGGTACTGAGCTATTTGTATTGAGGATGTTACAGGCATCTGCAATGATTTCAGGGGTGAGCTAGCTTTCAAAATCACTTAAATCATATACTGGACCTACTGTTCAGGCACTGCAGTGCTAAGAAGCATAGCATACAGACATTTGGGTTGCACTGCTATCTAGTTAGACGTTTTGAGAGTGAGATACCTTAGAGCAAGTAAGACTGTCAGGATCCATACCAGGGGTTTGTAGCCTTCAGCTGCCCAGTAGGAAATACTGGGTACAATTCTCATAGGACTTGACTTGACAAGGTACAACCCTCAAGACTGCATTTTTCTTCTCTGCTCAGCAGTAAAAATACAGGTTCTTTGAGGGACTTTACTGGGTTAAGAAGAAAGAGGTAGAGATCCTAAAGAAATGTCTGGGTTCAAGCTGAGAAGACTTTACTGTGTATCTCGATTTTGGATTTAAACACTTAACACACCAAATAGACATATAAAATCTTTTGTAGACCCAGCCCTCAGCAGATATTAGAATCAATGACACATACATGTTTTGTGTATATAACGGATTACTCTTCTACTGTTATGGTGTAGAAAAAAGTGGAAATTAAGCTTTAAAATTGCAGTAATCATGAAAATAATTCCTATAAATAAAAATTATTGGCACTCCACATACAACACACTCCAAATACATCCTTTTTATATCTAGTTATCAGTTCTGATACATACTCCTGCATGTATCCAAAGTCTGTAATCAATCTTACTGTTCACAGTTGATTTACTAATCAGCAGCTTTTAATTTCAATGAAGTGTAATTTACAAACATAGTCAGACTAAAAGAATTCTGAATCAGATGCAGTTGTTTTACATCAGCATCACAATAAATTTACCCGCATACTTGTACTTGATCTGTGGCTACGTTGCTCTCCAAAACAAGCTAATTAATAAGAATGATAAAATCTAATGAACACTGACCCACACAATTCTTGTTTGTTTGGAATATAGATGGAGAGAACTAGCAGCACAACACAGAGAATGCTTATCTTGTAAACAACAACAAAGAATACCTTCTAAAAAAAAAGGGAGTCATTACTAGTCATGTCTAGGCATTGTATAGATAGCAGTCTTTAATAGCTGGAATAGAGAAAGACAGAAAGGAATACAGTTTATATCAGTCAAGACAGATAGAAATTAAAATAATCGAAAGCATGAAAATTTCAGTGTAAAACACCACAGCTATACTTACATGAAGAAGATGAATGCAAGATTTGAAACTGTGCGGTAAGTCTGTCAAAAGAGAAGAAAGCCACAAGCCACTTGGGCTTTTTTTCTAAACATGTCCACTAATGAAACCCTCATTAGGCAGTGCAAAGCTTGCAACATTGCTTGCTTCACTTCAGGGTGTATATAAGTAAATAGCCACTTGCACATCCTCAAAACCCATAAAACAAATGCATGGTATCCATAATGCTAAGGTAAGAGAATGTCAATAGTTGGTGATCTATTTTCTAGCAGTACAGCAGCAGTTTGAAAGGAACTGCACTACTGAAGGGCCCTAACCCGACCACAAGAACAAAAGCCAGGTTGTTCTCAGACCCCGCGTTCTCTCAGGTTGTGTTCCACTTAACAGGTGCTCTATACAGATTATTCTTCCAGCCAGGTTTTCCAGGAAGAGAGAAAAAAGAATTTTTGGTTTTACAGTCAGTTGAGCAGATTATTTCCTTTTATAATGCTCTTGCTCAGGAGCCATATGTACATACAAAATGAAAGATAAACCACCCGGTTCTCTGCTCAGTTCCGTAACATGCTTCCTACGGAAGTTGTCAGATTCCACAACTACAGAGAACTACTCTCAGCTGCAGTTAAGAGCTCTGTTAGCATAGGATTACCACATACTCTGGTTAGAAATGCTCTAGAAGATACTTAAAATAACCTTTTGAATAAGCCACTAATATCCAAGGCATCAGCCAACTTTTTTAAGACAAAGGCCAACAACAGATAGTGTGAGTAATAGCTTACTAGTTGCTGCATTAAAATACTGATGATCATGCTATATTGCCTTCTGCAGAGCTTGTGGTGGTATATCAACACCTTTGAAAGTAAGCTCTTAAAGATACGATGGCCACCTTCTGTATACACTAAACATACACATATTTAAAGCTCCCTTTGCTTTCTACAGTCGTTTCCACAAAGCATTTCAATGATGTACCTACCACATAAGATTGTTCCCCACAATTCAAGCTCAAATTCTCAGCTGTAACACAAGCTTAAAATCAACACTCAAAGTTGCGTTTATTAGGTCTACCTTTCTTGGTATGTATCTGACATAATTTGTTTTAAGTTTTGGCACTTTCAATTTACCTTCATACTGTGTGATTAGCCCTGCAGCTGAAATATTACAGCTCCCATGTATACTTAGCAAATCATCTTGTTATACAAAGTTCTGTAATCTTATGGACTCTTCTATATCATTTATTCTTTCAGCGCCTCAATCTCTTCTTCAGTTTTACAGCAAGTAATTTTCTCTTCCAGGGTTCTTCTGGTCTGAGAGTTCTCCAGTAACTTTAAAAGAGGATTTTTGTAACGCCTCTCAAGATGGATGCAGCAATATCAGATCACTGTTTTAAAGCTCTTCTAAATATCTCCGCAAACACTGCAAAGGTACTGTACAAATGGGATCCTGAGGGGATGGTTCCTGCTGTTGGTTTCCCATACACTGTCTCTTAAATGAAACTGGCCTGGTTTGCAGCTGCTGGTCATAAATTTCACTATACAGCTTATTAAGCAGAAGAGAAACAATAATCTGCAAGGAAGTAAAATGATTGTACTCAGCACATTCCTATCCAACAAGTGATGGCTAGGAAACAAATTGGGGCTTTGTTTATAGATTGCCTGCCCAGTATGTGGCCCACATCCCCAATTTCTCTGCACCCTACCAGGAGTCACTACCACCACATTACAGACGTTCCTCAGCAGCGTAGGAAGTTTCATTCTTCCACCATAACAATTTAAAGTATTTACACACTGCACAGCCACTCTTTTACACAAACATATACTTACTGGTATATTCATGAACCACATCTAAAAGATTCTGCAAAGACTGACACGTCGGATTTCCAAGCATGAAAAAAAAAAATATCTGTAGCCTTCTAAAAGACAGCCATTTGGAGGGCCTGTGAGAAAAAGTGTGCCGTCTAACCTTAAGTTCTCCTCAGAGACCATTCACTAGCTTCAAAATATCCACGTCTGGCATTAACTAAAGCTCTCTTGGTGATGGCAGACTTCAAGAATGAACATGTGCAAATAACACTTTCTCAAGAAATCCCACAGCAGAAACAAGAAAATGGAAAACTCTTTAGGGGAATTACTACATTTCTGAAATAAATCTGAGAGGCTCACAACTCAATGCTAGTATACATATATATAGCATATATATACACACATGTACAGGATCCAGGAACAGAGGAAATTAACTAGCATATGGTGCCTGCCCAGTAAATATGAGCAACACTGCAAGCAACACTAGGTTCATCCATCAGCTTTCAGCCATGAAAACTTTAAATTCAGAGCACTGATGAGGAAGTTCAGTCACACAAAATAGGGAGAAGCCTGTCACCATCAGGTGAAACCGCAGGAGCCACATTATCAGACATACCATAAATCCACAAGTTTAATTCATCTGAAACAGCACCATCAGACAGCACAGACAGAACAAGGTGCCCATAGTCTAGTCTAAACTAAATTTTTACCTTCAGCCTTAACTCAGTTCTGACTACTTTCATCTCAAGTATTCCCAGAATAACACCTGTATGCAGTTACACATCCATACAGGGAATTAATTAGTTTCTTTGAAAAGACTATTGCTGTCCTTACCAGTCAACAGTCCCTAACCTAGCCAGAAGAGTCTTCATAAAAACCAGGAGCTTTCACTCCATAAATAAACTCCATCTGCCTCCACCAAGGCAAACACTAGCTCAAGTTTGCTTAACAAAGGCAAGTGCTATTTGAGTCTTACTCAGATAGCACTTCTAACATATCAGTCCAGTCTCAGCTGAAGACTTTTAAGAGTGAAATAAGCCTATCTTGGAGCTGAGTTTATTGTAGCATGTATTAAAGCTTCCACTTCTTGGAGCAGATTAAGGCACTAAGTAAAACTAACCTTCAGGCCACCAAATCATCGTTCTCCTAGCTCCTCAATAAAAGTAGTCAGAGCCTATGGCCTCACTCCCCTCCTCCTTCTGAATGTATAGACAGAATTAGCATCTAAGCAACGGACAGAATTCAGGCTTGTGATTTCTCCAGTCCATCTTGGAGAATGACTTAACCCTACAGGTTAGAGGCAGCTGCAATAGTCACGTTACGTGCTTACACAACTAGACCATTAATATCTTTTAAAATGATCTTTCCACTGGTTCTATAAAGCTACATAAGTCTCATTCCAACACATTCCCTCTTCTTCTTTTGAAACTCATGCCATGAAACTAGGAAATGTCAGAATTACAAAGAAGGTTCTGTAATTTGTGTTATCCAAGATGGTCATTTGAGCTAATGGGAAGCACTTCACTCTCTCCCTCCAAAGCAGGGATGGCCATTTGTTTGAGGGACAGAATACAATTCCATTCCTAATGATTTTAACTACTGAACCCAGCAAATCACCAATGTCATTACAGGACAAGAGAGGTGCTGGCTCCAGAGTAAGAGAAATGATAGAAAAAACCCATAAATTAGTCCAGTTAAAAAAATTTGTTAAACCAAGTAATACTTAGTGGGAGCACTGAATAGTATTCACATGTTTATATGTATAATACATAGTTACTCAGATACACACATAAATATTTAATATATAAAAAATAAAGTGCTTTCTATCAGGTCCCAATGCAGGGACATTATAAAACATTTCACTGACTGCAAAACAAATAGATACAAAGAATACTACATCAAACATACATGAGACAGTTAACACAATATGTACAATCTGGTGGTGTCCCAAGACAAAGCATCCATTCATATACATGGTATATACATATATACTCATCTTTACTCAATATATTATGACAATATATATTTCAAAATTTTGTTATATACAAAAAAACCCTACAAAAATGCAAGTAGGATCAAGCATACAAGTCCAAGACTGACAAAGAATTTGATACCCTTGCCCACACCACCACCTCCACTGCTGGGAAAGATACGCCAGTGCTCTTTTCTGGGGTGCAGTGCCTCCACATCCTGCAAGGCACTGTGAGCCGCAGCCGAGAAGTTAGCATCACCAGTGGTGAGTAGGTCAAATACACATGAGTAAAAATAGATGTCCTTCACCAGCATCTTCTCATGGCATTTGGTGGTGGCAGTTTCCAGTGTGTACACTGACTGGGGATGAGCAGCACCACCCTGAGGGAGCAACCGCCCCATCACAGGCAATGGTAAGTGGCCACTATCATCAATACGTTCACGTGAAGGGCAGCCATTCACACACAGTTGCAGATCCTGGCTCTCTTCATAGGCCATGACCAACTCTTGAGGCATGCGAATGGCCAGTGTTAAGTAGTGCCCAAGCTGGCGTATATACACCGTGGTCCCAATGTACTTGGCATGCATTTCGACGTATTTGCCATTGACTTTCTCCACAATTCGCAAGCTCTTGGTGTTTCCATCACCTCCACTTGTTGTACCATCAACAAAAGCTGCAGGCAAGTCATCAGTCACTGCTTGATATACTTTCTGATCTGTACAGTCCTGGTATGATTTAAAGATTATAGTTATCTGGGGCGGAGAAGGGGGAGAGGAGGGGAAAAAAAACAGCAAAGTTAGTGGAAAAAAAATCATTGCAATCCCTTTTCCATTTTGCAGCTGAACATATCTGGGACTGCCCACTAGCTCAGAGCTTCATAGTTGTCCCTAACTCATGCCTAAAGGAAAACAGTCTGTACACATGCTTAAAGCAGTATTTTACCAGATGGCAATTGTTAAATTTGTTCTTAGGTTGGCCTCGAAGCAAGACTATTAGCCACGAGGTCAGGAAAAGAAAAGGCTTTATATTTAATTAAGAACAACAACTCCCTCCTGCCTGATGGTTTAACACTTTGGAATGCATCCTGCAGTCACAGAAGTGTAAGTGCCACGTAATTCCCACAATGCTAACCACTATGGCAAAACCAGAGTGAGACTGTGCAAAATCACAGAAAGGTACAAGAGGACTCAGCTTCACGATATTCTCATCACTCCTTTTACAGTGACTGTATGACCCTTGTCAGGGTACTGTACACTTGTTGGATGTGTTGCCAGGATTAGCTGTGCAAGACTACTTTAAAAGCACTGCTGTATTTAATACTTTATCAGTCATCAACACAACAGGCAGTGAGATGGGAGATGCATGACCAGGAAGAACAACTAGTCAAATAACTGCTTATGGCTCCTGGATCTGTTAGTTCTAGGAACTGGGAGATTTGACACTTCCAGTCCACAGTTGCTAGAAAATGTGCCCATGCAGAAACAAAGCAAGACTGAAAGATACTCAAAAACATGCTTTTGAACAATGAGTTCCAACACAGAAACCAGAAGCATAAAGCAATTACTCATTCTTTTAAGATTACGACCGGCCTTTTAAACCTTTACACTTATTTAAATAAGCCACAACAGAAAAAGTAGATCCTCCAGTCTTACTTGAAGGGAATAATTAGGCTATTTGGCAGACCAAGTTTGGAGTGTCTAGTGGCTTTTCCTGAAATAAAAAGTATAATGAGGGATCACATGTAAATATTAGAAACAGATACGCTGCTTCCTTTACAGTTTCAGAGGGGAGTGACTTCTTGAAAAGGTCAATGGGAATTCTGCACCAAGAATAGATATTTTAATAATTATTTTCATCATTGACTGATTACATCAAAATTACTTACAGTCTATGATTTAAGCAGTCTGCTGCAAGATTCAGAGTACTCCAGAACATATTAGAAGGTGTTTTCAATCTAACATTACACTTTTTCCTTAAAATCTACTCTATAGCAACCTCACATTTTAATTTCAGTTAACCAGCACACTTCTGCACAACAGCTTTTGTTTCCTGCTCCTCTGCTTTGAAGAGCTAGAGGTTAAATAAAGAGCTGATTACAGACAATCCAAATAAAACCTCTACCCTCATTAGCCTCACCTCTCCATACCAATTGTATAAGAAAAAAGTCTTCCCTTCTCCCTCCTCCCATCACAACAATTCCTCCTTTGGAGTACGCAGACATACCCTAAGCAGTATTACATTATTTTTCAATGTTTGGTTTGTCCCGGTTGGTTGACACTCTGTCAGTCTTTCTCTCTGTCTCACACACACAGACAATACTTGCTATTTTGATTTCATATGTTCCCACTGGTGCTGTCTGACTGGAATTTTCCAGTGTTTTTTCTTTGCGTTAATCAGTTATACAACTACCTTGAGACCATCTGTAGTCAAGCAATTTGGTAAACTGATGTCTGTGGGCCACAGCTTGAATGCCTATGCCCAAAATCCAGAAAATGCACAAATGCCCTTGTTGCTGTAAAGACTACCTTACAACTCTATGCTTAGTGAAGTAAGCTCACCAACCTAGAGAAGAGACACCTGAGATCTGTCAAGTGATTAGTATTTCTGCATATAATCCAGAGCCTCATGCATTAAATCAGGTCTTGTATTTTATATAACACAGTTTCGATGAAACAGACTTCTACCTCAGCCTGCTCAGACAAAGAAGCATTCCTACTTTCTCAAGCACATTTGCGTTGCTCTGCAAGGAAAGAATGAGTTACATTTCAACAGAAGTAAAGCTCTAAATCTGCTCAGCACCTGATCTGGAGTCAAAAAGAGTTAATGGTTTTAACGAGACACAGAACTGGCTACTTGATAAAAGAGTTAAGCAAGGCAACTGGCAAAATTTATCAGGAAGCAGCCACCAAACGATTCTCTCCAAGCTCCCTCCTCTGCAAGAATGAAATGCACGCTATTTGAGAGACAGAGAGGGAGAACAGAAGCCTTCACCCTAAGGCAAGGTCAGCAATAACATTGCACACTGAATGATGGCTGAACGACTATTAAGTGTATGAAGGCCTCCACTTACCTTGCAAGGATGCTTTAAACAGAAAATCAACAGAGACCATTAAGACTTTCCAAGGACATACTCATATTTAAACACTGCGGCTCAAGACATTAGGTTTAGATATTGTGTTTTCTGTCGTGTGACATCCATCTAATCCATAGGCCAGATCAGTAAAACCAGAGTTCTGTAAGGTCCTTTGCTTATCACCCACTCCTACCTCAATCTCATGCCCTGGTATTGAGAGATAACCAGGAGCTTGTTGCAAAGGAAGATGAAGCAAATTTCACTGCAAAGCTTTTTCTGTTTAAGTTCTCAAGGTAACAGAAAGCATTAAATAGTGAAAAAGGTTATTTCAAACAAATTTAATATGTGTTATATATGTACATGTACCTATAGTACTTTCTACACTCTGGCTGGGTTGTAAGAACGCCCCCACAAAGCTGCTCATGGGTCAGTGTTTACGGACTAGAAACTAGCTGCCCTTTCTAAACCTAGGACAGAAAAATCCAAATACCAGAATCTTCAAATGAAAAAGTTCTTTTGAAAGTATTGGTATCTGAGCCTTGTTCTCTGGGCACATACAGAGATCTTAAGCTACTGCAGTGAGGAACCGTAAAAGATGAAAATAAGGTTGTTCCAAAGACTTATCTGAAGATACAATATACAAACATCAGCTATACTAAGAGTACAAAAAACAAAAAAAAAACCCTTACACATTCAATCTGCACTTGAAATATTTCATTTTGGATTTCATTGTCCCACTCCTACTGCATCCTCACTGAGTGTACTAATTACAAAGATTACTTAAATCCCACTGCACATGCAAAGCCTTTCAAGGATGGTGTTACTGAGATGCCAAAGTGAAGTTTCTAGAGGACCTTCATGTATCTGTAGAAGGTGCCTGGCTTGTGTGCCTTGAACAAAAGCAACGCTTTCAACTCTGAATTCTCGTACTAGTCTTCACTAGTGCCATAATGCAATCACAATGCTTAGGTCTGACTGTATGTTGCTATTTTACTATGCACTTCATAGACGTTCCAATAGACGTTCATAGATGTTCCAATGCTTGATAACCCTTCTGGTAAAAAAATTTTTCTTAATAGCCAATCTAAACCTCCCCTGGCAAAACTTGAGGCCATTTCCTCTCGTCTTATCACTTGTTACTTGGAAAAAGAAACCAACACACACCTCGTTACAGCCTCCTTCCAGGTAGCTGTGGAGAGCCATAGGTTCTTGCCTGAGCCTCCTTTTCTCTAGGCTAAACCACCCCAGTTACCTCAGCAGCTCCTCATAAGACTTATGCTCTAGACCCTTCACCAGCTTTGCTGCACTTTTCCGGACACGCTCCAGCACCTCAGCATCTTTCTTGTACTGAACATAGTATTTGAGGTGCGGCCTCACCAGTGCTGAGTACAGGGGGACAATCACTTCTTTAGTCCTGCTGGCCACACTATTCCTGATACAAGCCAGGATGCTACTGGCCGCCTTGGCCATCTGGGCACACTGCTGGATCATATTCAGCCTGCTGTTGACAAACACCCCCAGGTCCTTTTCCACCAGGCAGCTTTTCAGCCACTCTTCCCCAGGCCTGTAGCGCTGCATGGGGTTGTTACAACCCAAGTGAAGGACTCTGCACTGACCCTTGTTGAATCTCATACAATTGGCCTCAGCTCATCGATCCAGCCTGTCCAGATCCCTCTGTAGAGCCTTTCCACCCTCAAGCAGACCAACTCCCACCCAACTTGGTGTCATCTGCAAACTTACTGAGGGTGCACTTGATCCCCTCGTCGTGGTAACTGATAAAGATATTAAACAGAACCAAGCCCTGGGGAACACCACTTGTGACCGGCTGCCAACTGGATTTAACTCCATTCAGCACAACTCTTTGGGCCCAGCCATCCAGCCAGTTTTTTACCCAGCAAACAGTACACTCATCCAAGCCACAAGCAGCCAGTTTCTCTAGGAGAATGCTACGGGAAACGGTGTCAAAGGCTTTACTGAAGTCCAGGTAAACAACATCCACAGCCTTTCCTTCGTCCACTAAGTGGGTCATCTTGTCATACAAGGAGATCAGGTTAATCAAGCAGGACCTGCCCTTCATAAACCCTGGGCCTGACCACCTGACTGTCCTGTACGTGCCATGTGATGGCACTCAAGATGATCTGCTCCATAACCTCCCCCGGCACCGAAATCAGAGTGACAGGCCTGTAGTTCCCTGGATCCTCCTTCTGGCCCTTCTTGTAGATGGGCGTCACATTTGCTAACCTCCAGTCAACTGGGACCTCCCCGGTTAGCCAGGACTGCTGATAAATGAGGGAAAGTGGCTTGGTGAGCACTTTGCCAGCTCCCTCAGTACCCTTGGGTGGATCCTATCTGGCCCCATAGACTCGTGTGTGTCTAAATGGTGTGGCAGGTCACTAACCATTTCCCCTTGGACTATGAGAGCTTCATTCTGTTCCCCATCCCTGTCTTCCAGCTCAGCAGGCTGGGTACCCTAAGAACAGCTGGTCTTGCTATTAAAGACTGAGGAAAAGAAGACATTAAGTACCTCAGCCTTTGTCACTAGATTTCCCCTGCATCCAATAAAGGACAGAGATTCTCCTTAGCCCTCCTTCTGTTGCTAATGTATTTATAGAAACATCTTTCATTGTCTTTTACTGCAAAAGGCAAATTAAGTTCTAGTCGGGCTTTGGGCCTTCTAAT